GGGCTCTCAAAGTCCCTTTTTGCACCAGGGAAAAATACTAATCCACCACCAGAGGCTCCCTGGAGTCCAGAGGCCTCCTTATTGACATCCATGTTCAGGGGTCTGGATCAGTCTTGTACTGGCCTCCCAGACGAAATGGAGGAAAAGACAAACCAAAAAATTCAAGAAATAAACAAATCTCTTAAAGAATCTAAAGAAACCCAAGAAAAAACATCCAAACAAGTGAAGGAAGTTCTTGAAACAGTTCAAAGCACTTCTACAGAAGGAAGTACCTATGAAAGTACAAGAAATTACAGAACACCAAAAAGACTGGACCACAAAAACAAGTCCCCCCTACACATAATAATCAAAACACCAAATCTACAGAATAAAGAGAAAATATTAAGAGCAGCAAAGGAAAAAGGCCAAGTAACATATAAAGGAAAATCAATCAGAATCACACCCGACTTCTCAATGGCAACCCTGAAAGCCAGAAGGTCTTGGATAGATACCCTACAAGCACTAAGGGAGCATGGATGTCAACCCAGACTACTGTACCCAGCAAAACTTTCAATCACTATATATGGAGAAAACAAGATATTCCATGACAAAAACAGATTTAAACAATACATATCCACAAATGCAGCACTATAGAAGGTTCTGGAAGGAAAACTCCAACTTAACGAACATAATGACACTCACAAAAACACAGGCAATAGATAATCTAATTTTATCCTCCTCTCTTTTATATTGTATTTTAATATGCAAGCTACCAAAGGGGAAAAGTAATCAATATTCTGACCCAGCTACGACTTCTATGACCCAAACAACAACCATCCCAGCAAGACATCCATAGTGACATTTATTTCTTGGAGGTAACCAGCAGCTGTCTAATTGAACTTAGAGAACACTTAATAAGATAGACTGTATTATAGTACTGTAATCTATGCCAACTACTCATGACTGATGAGTCATGGGATTCTGAGGAGAACCTACTATAGCCACTTTCCAAAATCAGTATACTTCCTAACTGCATTCCAAATGATCTCTATCCCCACAGGCAAGGGTAGCTCTCACCTTTTATCACAGTTTCTTTTTGCAGCAGATAGGGAGCCTTACAGAAAGCCCCAATTGGTCAAAAATGCTGAGATCAACTGAGCCCAACTGCAACTGACCAATCTATAACACAATCCCTATGCCTATGACTTAGGGTACATAACAAACAAAGTGGGGAAAAAGCAGGATGCCTGCTATAAGGTAGCATAGTGTGTGTGTGTGTGTGTGTGTGTGTGTGTGTGTGTGTGTGTGTGTG